TACCTGTCTGAGGGACATTATTACTGAAACACTCTCACACACACTACTGAAAAACCTTTCAGTTCAACAGGAAGTTGTTTCTGTTGAACAGGAAGTTGTTTCAGTTCAACAGGAAGTTGTTTCAGTTCAACAGGAAGTTGTTTGTTGACAAGGAAACTGAAGGGAAAAGTGGTAGATTTCAAACAAACCACTACACAGATGTCTACTCAGCAACCTGCCTGAGTGAAGCAGCTGCATTACTTAACCATATGTTAGCCTCAGCATAAGTCAAATTTAGTCTTTTTCAGCAAAGAAAATCTTAAAATCGTCAATAAAACCAGGGAGAGAAGCTCAGCGTTCCTCCATTTAGCACAATGATATTTACTCAAAAGTATGATGATGTTTATAATGTCTGAGACATCCAACGCTAGATGATCCATATAAAAGAAATTATGATGTAATTCAAATAGTGGCACATCATTAATATTTAGGGAAATCCAATTTTTTAAGTTGCACCAAATGCATTGTGTGATAGGGCAAAGGTTTCATTGTCATCAGTACAAAAAGAACACTGATCCACCTCAAAGCCAAACCTCTTTATTAGAAATTCTGCCACAGGATTCATTTTGTTTAAAGTGTGTTTCTTTAACTTTAGGTAGAATAGGCTATTTCATAAATTTTAGTATGCTTTATCCAGTGTATATGAAATAACTTAGAACCATGCAATGTAACCATTCTGTTCTAACTATGAAATATTTTGTCTTTGAAGAAACTACTAATAAATCTATTATTGCATTTTTATCAAACAGCTGACATTGCCCCAGCAATAAATTTGGGAGCACTGATGAGAGATTATTGTATATCATAACATTTAATCAAATGAAGCAGAGGCAGTGGGACCAGTTCACAAAATGTGTTATCTTCTCTTTGAGTTTAGACAATATTTTTCTGAAAGGTCTGTGTAACTTAGAATGACAGCGTTGTCATCAACAAATCTGTTATGAATATAATCTTTTTGTTCACTATTGAAAATTGATTTTTGATTAAGTGTTATTACCCTATTATTACATAAGGCTGAATTATGGGGAGAAGTTGTGGGTAAATCTCATTTTCCAAAAAAAGTCTGTTTTGGAAAGTTTGATATCTTTATGGGGATTTTATTTACCTCAAAATCACATTTCAAAACAAAGTCTAATCCTCCTGTTTTATTAAACAAGGATCATGGGATGTGAAGCTATGTAGAGTCTGGCTGTGACAGACAAGATTTTAACCATTTAATTCTAATGGTGCCATCCATAAATTAAAATTCTGCAGTTTTGATACCACCTTTATTGTATTCCTTCACAAGCTGAGATCTTTCTATGTAATGGGTTTTATTCCTCCACAAAAATTGGAAAATAACGGTGTTAATGTTTTTTCTCAAAGATATTTTCATTGATTTAAAGCAACAAAGAAAAACAGACACACAAAATTGTTAAACAACAGACAAGTTTCACAGTGACTGTTTGGACTGAAATATTAGAATACAGATTAATGACACACTCACATGTCTAGTAATTGCTTACACCAGTTTACCCCCCAACCATACCCCTTAGAACCCCTATCCCTCAGGCCAGGTAGGAAAAAAAATAAAACAAAATAAAACAAAAAGAAAAAACAAACAAACAACAAAAAACAAAAAATAAAACAAAAAGAAAAAACAAACAAACAACAGAAAAAA